TGACTCTGTTGTCAATCTCTCTCACACAGCCTGTCGGGGGTGCTTTGATTCTATGATGCTTCGTCTGACTACAGATTCTGTCCTTGGCACTTTTATCCCCTAATTTACTCTATGTCCCAACCGGTCAAAAACGGATTTCGTTTCAGCCTTGACTCTGTTATCAATCTCTCTCTCACAGCCTGTCGGGGGTGCTTTGATTCTATGATTCTATGATGCTTCGTCCGACTACAGATTCTGTACTTGGCACTTTTATCCCCTGATTTACTCTATGTCCCAAGCGGCCAGAAACGGATTTCGTTTCAGCCTTGACTCTGTTATCAATCTCTCTCTCACAGCCTGTCGGGGGTGCTTTGATTCTATGATTCTATGATGCTTCGTCCGACTACAGATTCTGTACTTGGCACTTTTATCTCCTAATTTACTCTATGTCCCAAGTGGCCAGAAACAGATTTCGTTTCAGCCTTGACTCTGTTATCAATCTCTCTCTCACAGCCTGTCGGGGGTGCTTTGATTCTATGATGCTTCGTCTGACTACAGATTCTGTCCTTGGCACTTTTATCCCCTAATTTACTCTATGTCCCAACCGGTCAAAAACGGATTTCGTTTCAGCCTTGACTCTGTTATCAATCTCTCTCTCACAGCCTGTCGGGGGTGCTTTGATTCTATGATTCTATGATGCTTCCTCCGACTACAGATTCTGTACTTGGCACTTTTATCCCCTGATTTACTCTATGTCCCAAGCGGCCAGAAACGGATTTCGTTTCAGCCTTGACTCTGTTATCAATCTCTCTCACACAGCCTGTCAGGGGTGCTTTGATTCTATGATTCTATGATGCTTCGTCTGACTACAGATTCTGTACTTGGCACTTTTATCCCCTAATTTACTCTATGTCCCAAGCGACAGGAAACGGATTTCAGCCTTGACTCTGTTGTCAATCTCTCTCACACAGCCTGTCGGGGGTGCTTTGATTCTATGATGCTTCGTCTGACTACAGATTCTGTCCTTGGCACTTTTATCCCCTAATTTACTCTATGTCCCAACCGGTCAAAAACGGATTTCGTTTCAGCCTTGACTCTGTTATCAATCTCTCTCTCACAGCCTGTCGGGGGTGCTTTGATTCTATGATTCTATGATGCTTCCTCCGACTACAGATTCTGTACTTGGCACTTTTATCCCCTGATTTACTCTATGTCCCAAGCGGCCAGAAACGGATTTCGTTTCAGCCTTGACTCTGTTATCAATCTCTCTCTCACAGCCTGTCGGGGGTGCTTTGATTCTATGATTCTATGATGCTTCGTCCGACTACAGATTCTGTACTTGGCACTTTTATCCCCTAATTTACTCTATGTCCCAAGCGGCCAGAAACGGATTTCGTTTCAGCCTTGACTCTGTTATCAATCTCTCTCACACAGCCTGTCGGGGGTGCTTTGATTCTATGATTCTATGATGCTTCGTCCGACTACAGATTCTGTACTTGGCACTTTTATCCCCTAATTTACTCTATGTCCCAAGCGGCCAGAAACGGATTTCGTTTCAGCCTTGACTCTGTTATCAATCTCTCTCTCACAGCCTGTCGGGGGTGCTTTGATTCTATGATTCTATGATGCTTCGTCCGACTACAGATTCTGTACTTGGCACTTTTATCTCCTAATTTACTCTATGTCCCAAGCGGCCAGAAACGGATTTCGTTTCAGCCTTGACTCTGTTATCAATCTCTCTCACACAGCCTGTCGGGGGTGCTTTGATTCTATGATACTATGATGCTTCGTCCGACTACAGATTCTGTACTTGGCACTTTTATCCCCTAATTTACTTTATGTCCCAAGCGGCCAGAAACGGATTTCGTTTCAGCCTTGACTCTGTTGTCAATCTCTCTCACACAGCCTGTCGGGGGTGCTTTGATTCTATGATGCTTCGTCCGACTACAGATTCTGTACTTGGCACTTTTATCTCCTAATTTACTCTATGTCCCAAGCGGCCAGAAACGGATTTCGTTTCAGCCTTGACTCTGTTATCAATCTCTCTCACACAGCCTGTCGGGGGTGCTTTGATTCTATGATACTATGATGCTTCGTCCGACTACAGATTCTGTACTTGGCACTTTTATCCCCTAATTTACTTTATGTCCCAAGCGGCCAGAAACGGATTTCGTTTCAGCCTTGACTCTGTTGTCAATCTCTCTCACACAGCCTGTCGGGGGTGCTTTGATTCTATGATGCTTCGTCCGACTACAGATTCTGTACTTGGCACTTTTATCCCCTAATTTATGTCCCAAGCGGCCAGAAACGGATTTCGTTTCAGCCTTGACTCTATTATCAATCTCTCTCTCAGCCTGGCAGAACGCCTCTTGGGGGTGCTTTGAATGAGATTTTCCTGCTTCTTGGCAGAATAGGGTTGGACTGGATGGCCCACCAGGTCTCTTCCAACTCTAGGATTCCATTATTCCAACTCTATGATTCCCTTAAAGCTCGCTATCTCGTGCACTCGCTCATAACTCAAATCTCGGCTCATATGTCAAAGCAAAACAATGACAGAGAGACATCTCATATCTCAAAATATTTGTAAGTTTGGTTTCATTATAATTTATCAAGGTGGCATATATGGCTCTGCTCCTCTCTACATTATTATTATTATTATTATTATTAATTATAATAATCTTCATCATCATCATCTATATAAATAAAAATGTAATATTCGTTTGTGGGATTAACATAAATCAAAAACCACTGGACGAATTGACACCAAATTTGGATAGAAGACACCTAACAACCCAATGTATGTCCTTCACTCCATTTTTTTTATTTTGTCATTTGGGAGTTGTAGTTGTTGGGATTTATAGTACACCCACAATCAAAGAGCATTCTGAACTCCAGCAATGATGGAATTGAACCAATCTTGGGACACAGAACTCCCATGATCAACAGAAAACACCAGAAGGGTTTGGTGGGCATTGACCTTGAGTTTGGGAATTGTAGTTCACCTACATCCAGAGAGCACTGTGGACTCAAACAATGATGAATCTGGACCAAACTTGGCACGAATACTCCATATGCCCAAATATGAACACAGATGGAGTTTGCGGGAAATAGACCTTGACATTTGGGAGGTATAGTTACTGGGATTTATCGTTCACCTACAATAAAAGAGCATTCTGAACCCCACCAACGACAGAATTGGGGAAAATTTCCCATGACCAACAGAAAATACTTAAGGCCATCCAGTCCAACTCCCTTCACCAGGGCAAGAAATCAAAGCCTTCCTGACAAAGAGCCATCCAGCCATAGATATAGATAGATAGATATGATTCACATACAGAGAGCTTATATATATATATGTAATTCTCATTTGTGGGATTAGCATAACTCAAAAACCACTGGACGAATTGACACCAAATTTGGACACAAGACACCTCTCAGGCCAACGAGTGACCATCACTCAAAAAAACACTGAAAAACACAGCGGAAATTACTTAAAAAGCCAAAAAAAAGCAAAAAGATGCAAAAACAACTCCCCCAGCAAACAAAACACACAATAGTATATCCACACTCTCTTCTGGACTACAGCTCCCAGCATCCCCTAGACCAGGCCCTTCAGGAGAGGAGGAGGATCCAAATGCACTGCTTCCAACATGCAAGCTTTCCCCTCCTTGGATTTCTTTGAGAGCATCCCAATCCCGGCAGATTTCCAATTTTCTAATCCTGGACTGCAACTCCCAGCAATCCTCCAGATAGATAGATTAGACAGGTAGGTAGGTAGATGGATCAGGTGGACTGCTGGGAGTTGCAGTCCAAGAATACGTAGAAAAAGGGAGAAAGAGAAGGGAAAGAAGGGGGGAAGAAGGGAAGAAGAAGATAAGGAAGGAAGGAGAGAAGAAGAAAGAAAGAGGAAGGAAGAGAGAGAAAGAGAAGGAGAGAAAGAAAGAAGCAAAGAAAGAGGGAGGGACAGCCTTGAATAGTAAGAGAAGGACTTGAATGCGGAGATAAAGGCTAGAAGTTAAGAAAAAAGGAAGGAAGGAAGGAAGGAAGGAAGGAAGGAGCCAAAGTGCAAATGAAGAAGAAAGAAAAAAGAGGGAAGGAAAAGAAAGAAGAAGGAAAGAAAAAGAGGGAAGGAAGGAAGGAAGGAGAGGAGAGAAGAGAAGGAGAAAAGAAAAGGAAGAGGGAGGGAGGGAAGGAAAGAAGGAGAGGAAGGAGAAGGAGGAAGGAAGGAAGGAAGAAAAAAGATAAGGAAGGAAGGGGAAGAGAGAAAGGAAGAAAGGAAAGAAAGAAAAAATGGAAGGAAGGAAGGGAGGAGAAAAGAAGGAAAGAGAAAGGAAAAAAAGGAGAAGGAAAGAGGAAGAGAAGGAGAGAGAAGAAGAAAAAGGAAGGAAAGAAGAGAGGAAGGAAGGATAGAAAGAAAAAAGGGAAGAAAGGGGGGAAGGAAGAGGAAAGAAAAAGAGGAAGAGAGGAAGAAGGAAGGAAGGAAATAAAAAAAGAGAAGAAGAAGGGGAAGAGAAGGAGAGAGAGAAGAAAGAAGAAAAAAGGAAGGAAGGAAGGAAGAGGAGAGAAAGGAAGGGAAAGAAAAGGGAGAAGGGGAGAAGGAAGAGGAATAGGGAAAGAAGGAAGGAGAGAAGAAAGAAAGGAGGAAGGAAAGAAGAAGGGAAGGAAGGAGAGAAAGAAAGAAGGGAAAGAGAAGGTACAGCTAGTAATAATAATAATATTGTTATACCCTACACAGCAGGTTAAATCGCTAAGCTGCAGAACTTCCTGACCAGAAGGTCGGTGGTTCGAATCCGTGGGACGGAGTGAGCTCCCATTGCTAGCCCCAGCTCCTGCCAACCTAGCAGTTCGAAAACATGCAAATGTGAGTAGATCAATAGGTACTGCCAGGAAGGTAGCGGCGCTCCAAGCAGTCATGCCAGTGGCTACATTACCTTGGAGGTGTCTACGGACAATGCCGGCTCTTCAGCTTAGAATGGAGATAAGCACCACCACCCCAGAGTCAGAAAAACGGAGTCCCTTACCTCATTGAAGGTGACTGTGGGGGGCTGCCCTGCCATGGCTTTGAGGGGCTGTGTGTCGCTTCTCCAGGTCTTCCCGAAGAAGTGGCGGTAGGAGGCATCGAAGAGGGAAAGGCGCAGCTGGAATTCCATCTCCGCCACATTGCCCAGCGTTCTCTGCCAATGGAAAGAAGCAAAAACTCTTATTATGAGCGACAACAACAACAATACACTGTCTTTATTGGATACATTTCTGCCAACGATGAACAACCACTATTCCCTTTTCCACATAATCACCAGATAATAGGATACATTTCTGCCAACGATGAACAACCACTATTCCCTTTTCCACATAATCACCGGACAATAGGATACATTTCTGCCAACGATGAACAACCACTATTCACTTTTCCACGCAATCACCAGACAATTGGATACATTTCTGCCAATGATGAACAACCACTATTCCCTTTTCCACATAATCACCGGACAATTGGATACATTTCTGCCAACGATGAACAACCACTATTCACTTTTCCACGCAATCACCAGACAATTGGATACATTTCTGCCAATGATGAACAACCACTATTCCCTTTTCCACATAATCACCGGACAATTGGATACATTTCTGCCAATGATGAACAACCACTATTCCCTTTTCCACATAATCACCAGACAATTGGATACATTTCTGCCAATGAACAACCACTATTCACTTTTCCACGCAACCACCAGACAATTGGATACATTTCTACCAACGATGAACAACCACTATTCCCTTTTCCACATAATCACCAGACAATTGGATACATTTCTGCCAACGATGAACAACCACTCTTCACTTTTCCACACAATCACCAGACAATTGGATACATTTCTGCCAAAGACGAATAACCACTCTTCACTTTTCCACACAATCACCAGACAATTGGATACATTTCTACCAACGACGAACAACCACTCTTCACTTTTCCACATAATCACCAGACAATTGGATACATTTCTGCCAAAGACGAACAACCACTATTCCCATTTCCACACAATCACCAGACAATTGGATACATTTCTGCCAATGATGAACAACCACTATTCACTTTTCCACATAATCACCAGACAATTGGATACATTTCTGCCAACGATGAACAACCACTATTCACTTTTCCACATAATCATCAGACAATTGGATACTTTTCTGCCAATGATGAACAACCACTATTCACTTTTCCATATAATCACCAAACAATTGGATACATTTCCTCCAACGATGAACAACCACTATTAGCTTTTCCCCATAATCACCAGACAATTGGATACATTTCTGCCAATGATGAACAACCACTATTCACTTTTCCATATAATCACCAAACAATTGGATACATTTCTGCCAACGGTGAACAACCACTATTCACTTTTCCACATAATCACCAGACAATTGGATACATTGCTGCCAACGATGAACAACCACTATTCACTTTTCCACATAATCACCAGACAATTGGATACATTTCTGCCAACGATGAACAACCACTATTCACTTTTCCACATAATCACCAGACAATTGGATACATTTCTGCCAACGATGAACAACCACTATTCACTTTTCCACATAATCACCAGACAATTGGATACATTTCTGCCAACGATGAACAACTATTCACTTTTCCACATAATCACCAGACAATTGGATACATTTCTGCCAACGATGAACAACCACTATTCACTTTTCCACATAATCACCAGACAATTGGATACATTTCTGCCAACGATGAACAACCACTATTCACTTTTCCACATAATCACCAGACAATTGGATACATTTCTGCCAACGATGAACAACCACTATTTGCTTTTCCACATAACCACCAGACAATTGGATACATTTCTACCAACGATGAACAACCACTATTCACTTTCCACATAATCACCAGACAATTGGATACATTTCTACTAACGATGAACAACCACTATTCGCTTTTCCACATAATCACCAGACAATTGGATACATTTCTGCCAACGATGAACAACCACTATTCACTTTTCCACACAATCACCAGACAATTGGATACATTTCTGCCAACGATGAACAACCACTATTCACTTTTCCACATAATCACATTGGATACATCTGCCAACGATGAACAACCACTATTCTTAGGATAAAAGAGGACAGTATAATATATCTATATGAAAAAATGTAATGTTAGTTCGTGCTACCATCAGAACTCAAAAACCACTGGGGGAATTGACACCAAATTTGGACACAAGACACCTAACAGTCCAATTTATGTCCTCCACTCAAAAAAATTGATTTTGTCATTTGGGAATTGTCGTTGCTGGGATTTATAGTTTACCTACAATCAAAGAGCATTCTGAACTCCACCAATGATGGAATTGGGCCAAACTTAGCACACAGGGCTCCCATGACCAACAGAAAAAACTGGAAGGGAGTGGTGGACATTGACCTTGAGCTTGGGAATTGTAGTTCACCTATATCCAGAGAGCACTGTGGACTCAAACAATGATGAATCTGGACCAAACTTGACACAAATATTCCATATGTCCAAATATGAACACAGATAGAGTTTAAGGGAAATAGACCTTGACATTTGGGAGCTGTAGTTGCTGGGATTTATAGTTTGCCTACAATCAAAGAGCATTCTGAACTCCACCAATGATGGAATTGGGCCAAACTTAGCACACAGGGCTCCCATGACAACAGAAAAACCTGGAAGGGTTTGGTGGACATTGACCTTGAGTTTGGGAATTGTAGTTCACCCACATCCAGAGAGCACTGTGGACTCAAACAATGATGATCTGGACCAAACTTGGCACAAATATTCCATATGCCCAAATATGAACACAGATGGAGTTTGGAGGAAATAGACCTTGACATTTGGGATTTGTCTGCCAAGGCCATCACTCCAACCACCACCCAAGTCAAAAAAGAAGCCCCATTAAAGCCTTGGCAGACCGTGCAAAAAGAATCTGCGAAGCCCACCTCCTCCAAGATGAACTGAACCACCTCAACTGGGCTCTCCAGGCCAATGGAGACTCCACCTCAGACATCGGAAGAGCTGCAAGACCAAGAACAAGCCACGAGAGTAAAGACAAAGATCCACCCAGAGGAAAAGTGTTCTTGCCATACATCAAGGGAACCACTGACCGCAGAGGGAAGCTGATGAGGAAACACAACATACAAACTATCTACAGACCCACCAAGAAAATCCAACAAATGCTCCGTTCAGCAAAGGACAAGAGGGATCCTCTCACCTCTGCAGGAGTCTACCGTGTACCATGCAGCTGTGGACAAGTCTACAGAGGGACCACCAAACGCAGCAGCATTGCCCAGAACGAATCAAGGAACATGAAAGGCACTGCAGACTACTTCAACCAGAGAAGTCAGCCATAGCAGAGCACCTGATGAACCAGCCTGGACACAGCATATTACTTGAGAACACAGAAATGTTGGACCACGCTGACAACCACCATGTCAGACTACACAGAGAAGCCATTGAAATCCACAAGCATGTGGACAATTTCAACAGAAAGGAAGAGACCATGAAAATGAACAAAATCTGACTACCAGTATTAAAAAACTCTAAAATTACAACAGCAAAACAGCAGAGAGGAAACAACCAGGCACATCTTAACACCTCCCAGCAACAGATTTTCCCAGGCTCAGCCAGGCCTTCAAATGCTAATGAAGGTGGTCAGCTGAAACATTCACACCTGGCTCCAGCAGAGAAGAGCTCTTTGCCCCACCCCAGCCATTCCACAGATATATAAACCCATTGTCCTAATTCCAACAGACCTCACTACCTCTGAGGATGCTTGCCATAGATGCAGGCGAAACGTCAGGAGAAATGCCTCTAGAACATGGCCCTATAGCCCGAAAAAACCCACAAGAACCTAGTGATTCCAGCCATGAAAGCCTTTGACAATACATTATATTATATATTTATATTATCAATATATTATATTTGAATATATTAAATATATATGTTATAAATTTATTGTAATAAGAAGGATTAGGATATGTTGCATATTCCAGAGTAGGCAAACCAGACACTCTCCACATCAACACTGACAAAGAAAAAACAAGAAATACTGTTTACCCACAAGCAGAAAGGAATTACATATATTAGAAACCAACACTTTCTCATTACTTTATTTTCCAGATCACCAGACTGGGCCACAGCAACGCCTGGCAGGGGACAGCTAGTACAATATAAAAACATAGTTAAAATCAAGTATCCCAGCGGTTCTCAATCTGGGGGTCGCGGCCCGCAAGGGGGTCGCTGGGCCTTTTTTCGGGGGTCGCGAAGCCGCCAGAGTTGGCCCCGCCCCCCTCCAAAATGGCTGTTGGTCATGGAAGTCCTGTGTGCCAAGTTTGGTTCAGTTCTATTGTTGGTGGAGTTCAGAATGCCCTTTGGTGCCTGTTGAACTATAATTCACACAAATGCAATTCCCAAATGTCCCAAATGTCAGTATTATCTGTTGGTCATGGAAGCCATGTACGCCAAGTTTGGTTCAATTCTATTGCTGGTGGGGTTCAGAATGCCCTTTAATGCCTGTTGAACTATAATTCACACAAATGCAATTCCCAAATGTCCCAAATGTCAATATTATCTGTTGGTCATGGAAGCCATGTACGCCAAGTTTGGTTCAATTCTATTGCTGGTGGGGTTCAGAATGCTCTTTGGTGCCTGTTGAACTATAATTCACACAAATGCAATTCCCAAATGTCCCAAATGTCAATATTATCTGTTGGTCATGGAAGCCATGTACGCCAAGTTTGGTTCGATTCTATTGTTGGTGGGGTTCAGAATGCTCTTTGGTGCCTGGTGAACTATAATTCACACAAATGCAATTCCCAAATGTCCCAAATGTCAGTATTATCTGTTGGTCATGGAAGCCATGTACGCCAAGTTTGGTTCAATTCTATTGTTGGTGGGGTTCAGAATGCTCTTTGGTGCCTGTTGAACTATAATTCACACAAATGCAATTCCCAAATGTCCCAAATGTCAGTATTATCTGTTGGTCATGGAAGCCATGTACGCCAAGTTTGGTTCAATTCTATTGCTGGTGGGGTTCAGAATGCTCTTTGGTGCCTGTTGAACTATAATTCACACAAATGCAATTCCCAAATGTCCCAAATGTCAGTATTATCTGTTGGTCATGGAAGCCATGTACGCCAAGTTTGGTTCAGTTCTATTGTTGGTGGAGTTCAGAATGCCCTTTGGTGCCTGTTGAACTATAATTCACACAAATGCAATTCCCAAATGTCCCAAATGTCAGTATTATCTGTTGGTCATGGAAGCCATGTACGCCAAGTTTGGTTCAATTCTATTGTTGGTGGGGTTCAGAATGCTCTTTGGTGCCTGTTGAACTATAAATCACACAAATGCCAATCCCTTCATCCATTGTCCATATCACTGATCACTATGCTTTAATTATGTTCAATTTGAAGCAATGGAAATACATCCTGCATATCAGATGTTTACATTACACTTCATAACAGTATAGTTATGACGTAGCAACAAAAATATGGTTGGGAAAGGTTCTGCAGGCCTGAAGCACAAACCAATGCCTTTCGGCACCAACCTACAAACTCAGGAAATCGAGCGGCAAGATATGAACGGCTCGGGCCAAATTAAAGATTTAAGTTGCTCTGCATTATTTAGAGGCCCGGTGCTGTAACCCGGCACAAGGTTTCAGCCCAAGGTCTTGCACTGCTATCTCCCATTTGCAGATTGGAAGCCAAGAGGAGGGGAATCGATCAATCACGCCGTAATCCTGCCGCAATGTGCTGCCGGAGGAAGGAGAGAACGGCTCAAAATGTTCCTCGCTGTAAGCCTCCAAAGACCTATCCGTGCGAGTCTGCATTTGCCCTACAAAAGCCGGGAGAGTTGTGTTGAACAACCAGAAAGAAATGCCATGTTGAAAATGGAGTCGGCCTGGTTTCTGTTGCTCCAGAACTGGGTTCAAATGGCCAGAAAAGAGAGTCACACCTCAACACGAGGGAGAGCCTTCTTACTATAACAATAGTTCAGCAATGGGAAGGGGAGAATGTTACTCATTTCCTAACTAATAGGGGTGTGTAAATTTTCATTTTTAAACTGTGAGTCGCATCTAGTTCATAAACGATATTTTAAAACAATGTCACGATGTCAGGGCTCTGCCGTTATTCAGGCAGAGGTGAATCAAACACCCAGTTTGTATCAAACAGTTTAATTAAAACTGCACTTACTTTTTGGCTGTTTTAATAGTCCAACGATGGAGTGTGGAAGGGGGTTTCACCCTCCCCCTTGGGAGATGTCACGATGCCAGGGTTCTGCCGTATTGAGGTAGAGATGAACCGAACAAACTCCCAGTTTGTGCTAAAGTATTTAATTAAAACAGCACTTACTTTCTGGCTGTATTAACAGTCCAGTGATGGAGTGTGGAAGGGGGTTTCACCCTCCCCCTTGGGAGATGTCATGATGCCAGGGCTCTGCCGTATTCAGGTAGAGATGAACCAAACAAACACCCAGTTTGTATTAAACAGTTTAATTAAAACAGCACTTACTTTAGAATCATAGAATCAAAGAGTTGGAAGAGACCTCATGGGCCATCCAGTCCAACCCCCTGCCAAGAAGCAGGAATATTGCATTCAAATCAGCCCTGACAGATGGCCATCCAGCCTCTGTTTAAAAGCTTCCAAAGAAGGAGCCTCCACCACCTCCGGGGCAGAGAGTTCCACTGCTGAACTGCTCTCACAGTCAGGAAGTTCTTCCTCATGTTCAGATGGAATCTCCTCTCTTGTAGTTTGAAGCCATTGTTCCGCGTCCTAGTCTCCAAGGAAGCAGAAAACAAGCTTGCTCCCTCCTCCCTCTGGCTTCCTCTCACATATTTATACATGGCTATCATATCTCCTCTCAGCCTTCTCTTCTTCAGGCTAAACATGCCCAGCTCCTTAAGCCGCTCCTCATAGGGCTTGTTCTCCAGACCCTTGATCATTTTAGTCGCCCTCCTCTGGACACATTCCAGCTTGTCAATATCTCTCTTGAATTGTGGTGCCCAGAATTGGACACAATATTCCAGGTGTGGTCTAACCAAAGCGGAATAGAGCATGGGGAGCATGACTTCCCTAGATCTAGACACTAGGCTCCTATTGATGCAGGCCAAAATCCCATTGGCTTTTTTGCCGCCACATCACATTGTTGGCTCATGTTTAACTTGTTGTCCACGAGGACTCCAAGATCTTTTTCACACGTACTGCTCTCGAGCCAGGCATTGTCCCCCATTCTGTATCTTTGCATTTCGTTTTTCCTGTATTAATAGTCCAATGATGGAGTGTGGAAGGGGGTTTCGCCCTCCCCCTTGGGAGATGTCACAATGCCAGGACTCTGACATTATTCAGGCAGAGTTGAATCAAACAAACACCCACTCTGTATCAAACAGTTTAATTAAAACAGCACTTACTTTCTGGCTGTATTAATAGTCCAATGATGGAGTGTGGAAAGGGGTTTCACCCTACCCTTTGGGAGATGTCAAGATGCCAGGGCTCTGCCGTATTCAGGCAGAGGTGAATCAAACAAACACCCAGTTTGTATCAAACAGTCTAATTAAAACAACACTTACTTTCTGGCTGTTTTAATAGTCCAACAATGGAGTGTGGAAGGGGGTTTCACTCTCCCCCTTGGGAGATGTCACGATGCCAGGGCTCTGCCGTTATTCAGGCAGAGGTGAATCAAACAAACACCCAGTTTGTATCAAACAGTTTAATTAAAACAGCAATTTCTGGCTGTTTTAATAGTCCAATGATGGAGTGTGGATGGGGGTTTCACCCTCCCCCTTGGGAGATGTCACGATGCCAGGGCTCTGCCATATTCAGGTAGAGATGAATCAAACAAACACCCAGTTTGTCTCAAACAGTTTAATTAAAACAGCACTTACTTTCTGGCTGTTTTAATAGTCCAACGATGGAGTGTGGGTTTCACCCTCCCCCTTGGGAGATGTCACGATACCAGGGCTCTGCCGTTATTCAGGCAGAGGTGAATCAAACAAACACCCAGTTTGTCTCAAACAGTTTAATTAAAACAGCACTTACTTTCTGGCTGTTTTAATAGTCCAACGATGGAGTGTGGAAGGGGGTTTCACCCTCCCCCTTGGGACATGTCACGATGCCAGGGCTCTGCCGTATTCAGGTAGAGATGAACCAAACAAACACCCAGTTTGTATCAAACAGTCTAATTAAAACAGCACTTACTTTCTGGCTGTTTTAATAGTCCAACGATAGAGTGTGGAAAGGGGTTTCACCCTCCCCCTTGGGAGATGTCATGATGCCAGGGCTCTGCTGTTATTCAGGCAGAGGTGAATCAAACAAACACCCAGTTTGTATCAAACAGTTTAATTAAAACAGCACTTACTTTCTGGCTGTTTTAATAGTCCAACAATGGAGTGTGGAAGGGGGTTTCACCCTCCCCCTTGGGAGATGTCACGATGCCAGGGCTCTGCCGTATTCAGGTAGAGATGAACCAAACAAACTCCCAGTTTGTGCTAAACAATTTAACAGCACTTACTTTCTGGCTGTTCTAATAGTCCAAAACATAAAGATAGCACTCAGCCACAGAATATAAAACAAAACGGACAGCAAACTCTGTTGCAGGTTCAAGATAACATCGTAGTCAAAAGGACCAGCCCAGTGGTCAAACACCAAGAGCTCAATGTCCAAGGATCAAGAGTCTATACCATATACCGAAGTTCCTCCAAGCAGACAAGAGCAAAGCGGACAGACAGCAACCTCGTGAAGTGGACAAGAGCACGAGGCCCGGAGGCTGCTCCTTTGAAGCTCTAAAGCCCTGCACTATTGCACTAGCGCTTCCTTCAGTGCTAGCTCAGGTGAAGCGACAGCTCTTAACTCAAAACACTCTTTAGTTGTGACTCTCTTAAGTAGAGGTTCCACTGTAGTTTAATTCTGCAGAAAATACTAAGGGATGGTCAACTAACCCGAAGTTCCTCCAAGCGGACAAGAGCAAAGCGGACAGAAAGAAATCTCTCAAAGTGGACAAGAGCACGAGGCCCGGAGGCTGCTCCCTTGAAGCCCTAAAGCCCTGCAATCTCGTGCTCACACTCCCTCACAACTCAAGATGCTGCTCATATGTCAAAGTGAAATCTGGGTCAAGCGACAGCTCGTAACTCAAATGCAACTCGCATGTCAAAATGAAACCCGTGGTTGAAAATTCTGTTCGTATCTCAAAGCAAAACCTGAACCGAGCGACGGTCTGTGATGGAAAACGCTGCATGTATATCAAAGCAAAACCAGGGCTGAGTAATTGCACGAAACACTGCTCATATGTCAAAGCGAAACCCGGGTCAAGTGACAGCTCATAACTCAAACGCAACTCGCATGTCAAAATGAAACCCACGGCCGAAAATTTTGTGTGTATCTCAAAGCAAAACCTGGACTGAGGTACGGTCTATAATGGAAAACGCTGCATGTATATCAAAGCAAAACCAGAGCAAGTAACTGCACGAAACACTGCTCATATGTCAAAGCGAAACCCAGGTCAAGTGACAGCTCATAACTCAAACGCAACTCGCATGTCAAAATTAAACCCACGGCCGAAAATTCTGTTCGTATCTCAAAGCAAAACCTGGACCGAGCGACAGTCTGTGATGGAAAACGCTGCATGCATATCAAAGCAAAACCAGGGTCAAGCAATTGCACGAAACACTGCTCATATGTCAAAGGGAAACCCGGGTCAAGTGACAGCTCATAACTCAAACACAACTCGCATGTCAAAATAAAACCCGTGGTTGAAAATTCTGTTCGTATCTCAAAGCAAAACCTGGACCGAGCTATGGTCTGTGATGGTAAAAAAGCTGCAGGTAATATCAAAGCAAAACCAGGGCCGAGCAATTGCACGAAACTCTGTATGTCAAAGTGAACGCAGGCGCTTAGCTCAAAATGCTCTTAAGCTGGGACATGTTTAGGTCAAGGATCCACAGTATGTGGGGAAAAAGAAAGGGTTGTATTATCCGCTTACCTGCCTCAGGACGTCCCCCTCCACCCGCTTCAGGACACACTGGAACGCCGTCGATTCCCGGGGCGCTTGGTGCCGCCTCCGCTGGTGATGCGGCGGGACAGCGCGATGGTGAGCAAAGATCCTCTGCCATTCCCCCATCTCGTGGCCTAAAACACACACACAATTTCTTCTCTCATCAATGGTCAATGAGCAGAGTATCAGGGTTCAGTCCTTGGCCCAATACTGCTCAACATCTTTAGTAATTATTATTTTATTATTATTATGTTTATTTATATTAATATTTTTATTTATTTTTATTTTTATTATATTATATTATTATTTATTTATATTAATATTTATTTTTATTTTTTATTTTTATTATATTATTTCTATTATTTCTATTATTTCTATTATTTATACTATTTATATTATTATATTATTATCTATATATATAAAAATGTTCATGTCGTCGTGAGTGGCTTAAAAACAAAAGAACCGCTGGGCCAATACCCACCAAACTTGGCAACAAAACTCCTTACCATACAAGGTGTGACCAACAATAATAAAAAATAACAGAAAAAAACCCTAAAAGAACTTATAAATCCTTAATAAAAGGAGAACCCATCACAGCATCCTACCTTTCCTTTCCATTCTTCCCTTCTTCACCTTAGCTTCTGCCCATCCTTCCTTTCCTTCTTTCTGTTATCTTCTGCCCTTTCTTTCCTTCCTTCCCTTCTTTCCCCTTCTGTTTTTCCTCTCTCCCTCCTTCCCACCCTTCCCCTTCCTTCCTATGTTTCCTTCTTCCCCTTATCTTCTGTCTTTCCTTCCTTCCTTCCCTCTCTTCTTTCCCCTTCTGTCCTACGTCGGGTGAAAGAGTGAAGGGCCCGTCACTCCCCCCCCAACACACACACACACCAACACAACCACCACAAGCAACTCCCAAACGTCAAGGTTTTCCCCAAACTCCACTGTGTACAAATTTTGCCATATTGAGTTTTCTTCCCAAGTTTGGTCCAGATTCATCTTCGTTTTGACTCACAGTGCTCTCCAGATGTAAGTGGACTGCTGTTATTATTATTGTTATTGTTCTTCTTATTATTAACCTGAGCCTGGCTATCTGTCAGGAGTGGTTAGATTGTGCTTCTCCCATTTGCCAAAAGGGGCTGCACTGGATGGCCCCTGGAAGTCTCTTCCTATCCTATGATTCTTTGATTATTATTATTATTAGTAGTAGTAGTAGTAGTAGTATTATACTGAGCCTGAATGGCCATCTCTCAGGAGTGGTTTGATTGCGCTTTTCCCTTATGCCAGAAGGGGCTGGACTAGATGGCTCTTGGAGGTCTCTTCCTACCATAGGATTCCATCATCATCATCAACTTGAGGCTGGCCATCTCTTAGGAGTGGTTAGATTGCGCTTTTCCCAATTTCCAAAAGGGGCTGGACTGGATGGCCCTTGGAGGTCTCTTCCTACCCTACCATTCTATTATTCTTATCAACCAGAGGCTGCTTGACCATCTGTCAGAAGTGCTTTGATTGTGCTTTTCCACCATGAGAGTAGAAGAGGGTTGCCACAGAGTATGCAACAGCAACGTGTGGCCGGGTACAGCTAGTTATTAATAATTTCGATGGAGGTTTAGAGGACATCCTTATCAGGTTTGGAATTGGGCCAAACTTAGCACACAGGGCTCCCATGACCAACAGAAAAAACTGGAAAGGTTTGGTGGACATTGACCTTGAGTTTGGGAATTATAGTTTACCCACATCCAGAGAGCACTGTGGACTCAAACAATGATGGATCTGGACCAAACTTGGCACAAATATTCCATATGCCCAAATATGAACACAGATGGAGTTTAAGGGAAATAGACCTTGACATTTGGGAGTAGTTGCTGGGATTTATAGTTCACCTACAATCAAAGAGCATTCTGAACTCCACCAATAATGGAATTGAACCAAACATGTCATACAGGACTTCCATGACCAACAGAACACACTGGAAGGGTTTGGTGGGCATTGACCTTGAGTTTTGGAGTTGTAGTTCACCTACATCCAGAGAGCACTGTGGACTCAAACAATGATGGATCTCGACCAAACTTGACCTAGAAAACCCTATACGGTTCCGGCCCAGCGTATCTGTCCGAACGGATCTCTACGTCCCACCTCGGAGTTTAAGATCTTCCGGGGAGGCCCTGCTCTCTTCCCCGCCTCTATCACAAGTGAGATTGGCGGGTACAAGGAGCAGGGCCTTCTCGGTGGTGGCCCCTCACCTATGGAATTCACTCTCCGGGGAAATTAGATCAGCGACATCCCTCCTTTCTTTTAGAAGGAAATTAAAAATATGGATTTGGGACCTGGCGTTTGGGCAATCTGGCAGATAAACAAAGGGCTACGACAACTGATAAGAGTAGACAATGTGGAATGAAGTTCTGGACTCTGAGTTAGCGAACGCTGAGTATGAGATTGGTTTATTGACTGTGATATATAATGATTGTTTTTAACTGTTATAACTGGTTTAATTACTGTCTTATATGTTTATCTGTATTATTGTGTAGGCATCGAATTGTGCCTTTTGTAAGCCGCCCTGAGTCCCCACTTGGGGGTTGAGAAGGGCGGGGTAGAAGTACATGAAATAAATAAAATAAATAAAATAGCCATTTTGAGTCTTGTGGAGAGAAAAAAGCAGAGTATAAATAAATAAACAAGAATAATAATACGTTCTAATACTAATAATAGATAAATAGTTGCTTATAAATAAACATAAACATAATAATAATAGATACACAGCCGCTTTGAGTGACGAGAAAAAGAGAAAAAGTGGGACATAAATAAACATAATAATAATAATAATAATAATAATAATAATAATAATAATGGAAAGACGCATTTACAGCCAAAGTCAATATATTCAACTGAATCCCAATGCTTGTGTGGCAGCCGGCCTTGGCACTGCAAGGCTGTTTGTGGTTTATTTATTAAATACCACTTGAGAGCCTATTCGGCACTTAAAAGCCTCTTGGTTAACAGGGAGCGTATTTCTTTTAAATTCATTATAAGAAGGCGAAAAGCAAAACGACCGTGCTGCCAAATTGCACGGCAAGGCTGGGCAGCTTTGGCGTTGCACAACTAATTCCAAAGAGCGATGGGAATTGGAGTTAGGAAGAAGCAAAAGGACCCAAAAGTTTGGTGGGAATAAATTTACCCTGAACTTCATTATTATCATTATAGGGACACTCAAAGTAGCTCACAAGTAGCCAAAACATTACAACTTAAAATATACAAATACACAATAATAAAACAATATATCACTATATATTAGTCTATATTATCAGTAGTAATTATATTTAATACTCCAAAAATCAAGGTCAATCCCTCCAAATCCCTACAGGATTCAAATTTGGGCATGTGTGCATCATCGTTTGGGATTAAGGTGCTCTTTGGATGAACTACAACTCCCCCAAATCCTGGTGAATTCCCTCCAAAGACCTCTAATATTTTTGTATTGGTCATAACAGCTCTGTGTGCCAAGTTTGGTCCATCATTGGTGGGGGTCGACGTGCTCTTTAATTGCAGGTGAACTATAAATCCCAGTAACTACAACATCCAAATGTCAAGGGCAATTCCACCCCCCCCCCCCAATAAACCGCACCGGTATTCATATTTGGGTATGCATGCCAAGTTTGGTCCAGGTCCATCATTGGTGGGGGTCGACGTGCTCTTTGATTGCAGGTGAACTATAAATCCCAGTACCTACAACATCCAAATCTCAAGAGCAATTCCACCCCCACCCCACCCTAAATAAACCCCACCAGTATTCATATTTTGCCAAGTTTGGTCCAGGTCCATCATTGGTGGGGGTCGACGTGCTCTTTGATTGCAGGTGAACTATAAATCCCAGTACCTACAACATCCAAACGTCAAGGGCAATTCCATCCCCACCCCACCCTAAATAAACCCCACCAGTATTCATATTTTGCCAAGTTTGGTCCAGGTCCATCATTGGTGGGGGTCAACATGCTCTTTGACTGCAGGTGAACTATAAATCRCAATAACTATAACATCCAATTATCAAGGGCAATTCCACCCCCACCCCCCACCCCCCGCAAAATAAACCCCACCAGTATTCATATTTGGGTATGCATGCAGGGTCAACGTGCTCTTTGATTGTGCAGGTGAACTATAAATCCCAGTACCTACAACATCCCAAAGTCAAGGGCAATTCCACACCCCCASCCCCAAAAAAAAAATCCCACCAGTATTCATATGTGGGTATGTATGCCAAGTTTGGTCCAGATCRATCTTACTTTGGGTTCGCAGTGCTCTCTGGATTTAGGTGAACTACAACTCCTATAAATCATTGTCAATTCCCCCCAAACCTTTCCAGTATTTTCCTTTATTACATTATAATAAATAAATGTAATAAAACATTATTATTATTATTATTATTATTATTATTATTATTGACATAATAACGAAACAACACAATAAATGTCATTAAAATTAACAAAATAATAAAAATAACAGTAACAGGAATTATAATAATATGATAAACTAGCCATCTCCTGCCACAGAAATTACACTGTCTAGCCGGTATCGCACCACCTGACATCCGCCAGGAAGTAGCAGCCAATAGTGAAAGGACCAAGGCAGAGACATCTCCAGCTCATCCCTTGTTTGGGTATCAGCCAGCACGTCAACGACTTAAATCGACATAGTTTTCTAAGATCTACAGAGACACTCGCTGGAACATCTCAGCAAGCGAGAGTCCAAAAGTGGCAGGCTCAAACCCATGGTTGATACCAGATGAGAGACTCCCTTCTGGGCACACAGAAGACTGGGCAACTTGGAAGGCACTGAACAGACTGCGCTCTGGCACCACGAGATGCAGAGCCAATCTTAAGAAATGGGGCTACAAAGTGGAATCCTCGACATGCGAGTGTGGAGAAGAGCAAACCACTGACCACCTGCTGCAATGCAACTGGATCCCTGCCACATGCACAATGGAGGACCTTCTTGCAGCAACACCAGAAGGCACTCCAAGTGGCCAGATACTGGTCAAAGGACATTTTAATGAACTACCAAACTCACAAATTTTGTATTAAGCAAACATAATAAATATTATAACAAACATAATTTAAATAATATAACAAGCATAATAATTTAAACAATATTATAAGTAAACATAATAAAACATAGTAATATAAGGAAACATAATAAACATTATAACAAACATAATTTAAATAATATAACAAGCATAATAATTTAAACAATATTATAAGTAAACATAATAAAACATAATAATATAAGCAAACATAATAAATATTATAACAAACATAATTTAAATAATATAACAAGCATAATAATTTAAATAATATTATAAGTAAACATAATAAAACATAATAATATAAGCAAACATAATAAACATTATAACAAACATAATTTAAATAATATAACAAGCATAATAATTTAAACAATATTATAAGTAAACATAATAAAACATAGTAATATAAGGAAACATAATAAACATTATAACAAACATAATTTAAATAATATAACAAGCATAATAATTTAAACAATATTATAATTAAACATAATAAAAACATAATAATATAAGCAAACATAATAAATATTATAACAAACATAATATAAATAATATAACAAACATAATCATTTAAATAATACTGTAAGTAAACATAATAAAAACGTAATAATATAAGCAAACAATAAACATTATAACAAACATAATTTAAATAATGTAACAAACATAATTTAAATTTAATTTAAATAATATTATAAATAATATTTATTATATAAATATTTATAATATTATTTATTTATATAAATAAATAATTTTATAAATAATAATTTAAATAATATTATAAATAAACATAATAATAATAGCAAACATAATAATAAACATTATAACAAACATTGAAATTATTAAAATAATCATAATAATAACCTAATTTAAATATACTCTCTTTATTTCTGCTGTGATTAACAGGGATATTCAAATACTAATCAATACTTGCTCAGAGGCACTCTTTCCCTGTTAGTGTGTCCCTCTCCATTCCAATATGGAGGAAAAAAGGAAGTGAGAAGGGGAAAAAATCTCAGTCAGCCAATCAGAGGGCTTGTTGCCAAGGAGAAAAATAATTAGGCAGCCAATCAGCTTCTTTCCCTCCTCTTTTTTTCTGATTGGGGGAAAAAGATCTCAGCCAGCCAATCACTGGGCTCAAAGTGGCTTGTTGCTAAGGAGAAGAAAAAAAGGCAGCCAATCAGCTTCTTTCCCTCCTCTTTTTTTTTCTCTCCTCTAAAAGAGAAGGGCCTACAATTTAGATTATTTGTTATCTCTTTCTTCTTTGGCAACAGTAGCCATTTTGAATATCAGCCAGCCAATCAGAGGGCTCCGAAGGCTTGTTGCTCGGCAGAAATTACACGAGACAGCCAATCAGCTTCTTTCCCTCCTCTTTTTTTCTCTCCTCAATACAAAACCAGGCCTAGAATTTAGAATACAGTCTAAATTTTGCCAATATTTGATGAATTATTCAAGAATTGGCTATTGATACTGTTTGTTTGATCAAAATCTCTTAATATTCGATGAATTAGGGTTTTTATACTCTTTCTTTGGCTCATTTGAGTTGTTATTTTGTTTCTTCTTTGGCAACAGTAGCCATTTTGATATCAAGCCAGCCAATCAGAGGGCTCCAAAGGCTTGTTGCTAAGCAGAAATTACACGAGGCAGCCAATCAGCTTCTTTCCCTCCTATTTTTCTCTCCCCTCAATACAAAACCAGGCCTAGAATTTAGAATACACTCTTTGGGATTTCTTTTAATAGTATTTTATGTATACACACACACACAACACACAAACATAATGTATATACATGGGCATTGATACTATTTCTTTGGCTCATTTTGGTTATTTGTTTCTCCTTGGTCAACAGTAGCCATTTTGAATATCAGCCAGCCAATCAGAGCGCTCAGAGTGCTTGTTGCTAAGCAGAAATTACACGAGGCAGCCAATCAGCTTCTTTCCCTCCTCTTTTTTTCTTTCCTCAATACAAAACAAGGCCTAGAATTTAGAATACAGTCTTAATTAGGCCAATATTTGATGAATTATTCAAGAATTGGCTATTGATACTGTTTGTTCGATTAAAATCAGTTAATATTCAATGGATTAGCCAAGAATTAGGGTTTGTATACTCTTTCTTTGGGTCATTTTGGTTATTTGGCAACAGTAGCCATTTTGAATATCAGCCAATCAGAGGGCTCAGAGGGCTTGTTGCTAAGCAGAAATTACACGAGGCAGCCAATCAGCTTCTTTCCCTCGATGACTTAGCCAACAATTAGGGTTTGTATACTCTTACTTTGGCTCTATTTGTTTCTTTGGCAACATCCGCCATTTTGAATATCAGGCAGCCAATCAGAGGGCTCCAAAGGATTGTTGCTAAGCAGAAATTACATGAGGCAGCCAATCAGCTTCTTTCCCTCTTATTTTTTTCTTTCCTACTCTTTCTTTGGCTCATTTGAGTTGTTCTTCAAACGAGCCGCCATTTTGAATCTCCCCATGTCTTCCCCGTTGCTAGGTGGGGCAAAGCTGCCTAGCAACACATTAATTTGTCTGATATCCCTGAGAATTCCCTTCAATAGGAGTTTTTACCTTAAAAAAAATGCCTAAAAATTATGAAATACACTGTATTATTATTATAATATTGTGATAAATGGGAATTTGGGTTGAAAACACTCCGTACATGCTCAGAAGTTAAGTTGAAGGAGTGTTTACCTTAAAAAATGCATTTCTTTTGCCTCAAAATTATGAAATATACTGTATTATTATTATAACATTGTGATAAATGGGAATTTGGGTTGAAAACACTCAGTACATGCTCAGAAGTTAAGTTGAAACAGCTGGGCGTGGCCTTAAAAAAATACTGAGGCGGGGAGAGAGCTCAGCCAATCAGCGGGCTCCTCCTCGAGGCCTTGGTGAGATCTCAGCCAATCAGAGGGCTCCTCCTCTTTTTCTCAGCTCTGTTGCCAAGAGGAAAAAAAATTCAGAAGTTAAGACAATCTGGGACAATGTGGGCGTGGCCTCAAAAAAATACTGAGGCCTTGGAGAGAGCTCAGCCAATCAGCGGGCTCCTCCTCAAAAATACTGAGGCAGGGCAGAGATCTCAGCCAATCAGAGGGCTCCTCCTCTTTTTCTCAGCTCTGTTGCCAAGGGGAAAAAAATTCAGAAGTTAAGACAATCTGGGACAATGTGGGCGTGGCCTCAAAAAAATACTGAGGCCTTGGAGAGAGCTCAGCCAATCAGCGGGCTCCTCCTCTTTTTCGCAGCTCTGTTGCCAAGAGGAAAAAAAATCAGAGGCAGCCAATCAGCGTCGTCCCTCTCAATCAGCGGGCTCCTCCTCTTTTTCGCAGCTGTTGCCAAGAGGGAAAAAATTCAAAAGCAACCAATCAGCGTCGTCCCTCTCCTCGCCTCGCCCAATAGGAACGCTCCCCCCGTTTATGATTTTTTTTAACCGACCCCGAGACCCTCTTTTTTACCTGACGCGCCCGCCGCCTACTCAGGCCCCGCCGCCATATTGTTTGGGCCGTACCATTTTCGCCTCCTCTCAAAGGGGGGGAAGGAACCTCTTCCTCGCTCTTCCTCGCTCTTCCTCCAATCTCTTCTCGATTAGTATTGTTTCTTCTTTGCCCTTTTTGCTATTGTTTCTCTCACTTTCTCCCTCTAAGTTCTTTTTTTCTTTCAAATTCTCAACTCAGGTCCCTCCCCCCCTCTCAGAAGTGGAAGGAATGGTATGATCCATTTGACTAACGCGGCTGCAGTTGTAGCTTCGGCGTTGCTAAGGCAACGGAAAAGGGGCGTGGCTTGGTGAGGTATAAAAGCCCGCGCGGAAGAGGAGGCGGAGCCAGTGGGTTGGCTGAGCTTGATGCAAGAAGGTCCTTCGCCTCTGAAATAATAATACAAAAAATATATAAATAAAATATTATTTAAAATTATATATATATATTATTTATGTATTATTGTAATATTATACTATATAAATAATTACACATAATTATTATTTAAAATTATATATATATATATATATTCTTTAGTATTTATTATTATTATTAAATAATTATACATAATTATTATTTAAAATTACATACATATTATTGTAATATAATAGTATATAAATAATTATACATAATTATTATTTAAAATTATATATATATATATTGCTGAGTATTTATTATTGTAATATACTATATAAATAATTACACATAATTATTATTTAAAATTATATATATATTCTTTTAGTCTTTATGATTGTAATATAATACTATATAAATAATTATACATAATTATTATTTAAAATTATATATATATTGTTTAGTATTTATTATTGTATTTATTATTTATTATACATAATTATATATATAAGATATAGTATTTATTATAAATATATTATTATTTGATATTATTTAATATACTATTCTTTTATCTTTATTATTGTATATAATACTATATAAATTATTAAAATTATTTAATTGTTTAATATTTATTATTGTAATATAATACGATATAAATGATTATACATAATTATTATTTAAAATTATATATATATATAGTTTAGTATTTATGATTGTAATATAATACTCTATAAATAATTATACATAATAATTATTTAAAATTATATATATATATAGTTTAGTATTTATGATTGTAATATAATACTATATAAATAATTACACATAAATATTATTTGAAATTATATATATATATTGTTCAGTTTTTATTATTATTTAATATTTTTGTTGTAATATAATACTATATAAATTATTAAAATTATTTAATTGTTTCATATTTATTATTGTAATATATATTATATATTGTATATAATACTATATAATTATTAAAATTATTTAATTGTTTAATATTTATTGTAATATAATACTATAAATGATACATAATTATTATTTAAAATTATATATATATATAGTTTAGTCTTTATGATTGTAATATAATACTATATAAATTATTAAAATTATTTAATTGTTTAATATTTATTATTGTAATATAATACGATATAAATGATTATACATAATTATTATTTAAAATTATATATATATATAGTTTAGTATTTATGATTGTAATATAATACTATATAAATAATTATACATAATAATTATTTAAAATTATATATATATAGTTTAGTATTTATGATTGTAATATAATACTATATAAATAATTACACATAAATATTATTTGAAATTATATATATATATTGTTCAGTTTTTCTTATTATTTAATATTTTTGTTGTAATATAATACTATATAAATTATTAAAATTATTTAATTGTTTCATATTTATTATTGTAATATAACACGGTATAAATAATTATACATAATTATTATTTAAAATTATATATATATTCTTTAGTCTTTATTATTATAATATAATACTATATAAATAATTACACATAATTATTATTTAAAATTATATATATATTCTTTTAGTCTTTATGATTGTAATATAATACTATATAAATAATTATACATAATTATTATTTAAAATTATATATATATTGTTTAGTATTTATTATTGTAATATAACTATATATAAATAATTATACATAATTATATATATAAGATATAGTATTTATTATAAATATAAACAATTGTTTTATATATTTATAATATTTATGATTGTAAATAATAATATACCAATAATTATGCAAAATTATATATAGTATTTCATGTATTATAATTATATAAAAACAATTCTATATATTTTACTATTTATTAATACAATATAATAATGTATAAATAATTATACATCATTATATATATTATATGTAGTATTTATTAATGTGTTAGAATTAAACAATTATTTTATATTATATATATTTTACTATATCTTAATATAATATAATAATGTATAAATAATCATTATATATATTATATGTAGTATTTATTGATAGAATTATAAATATGCCGAATAATTATTTTATATTGTATATATTTTAATACTTATTATTGTAATATAATAATATATAAATAATTATACATAATTATATATATTAGATATAGTAGGTAAAGGTAAAGGTAGTCCCCTGACATTAAGTCCAGTCATGTCTGACTCTGGGGTGTGGTGCTCATCTCCATTTCTAAGCCGAAGAGCCAGCGTTGTCCGTAGACACCTCCAAGGTCATGTGGCCGGCATGACTGCATGGAGCGCCGTTACCTTCCCGCCGGAGCGGTACCTATTGATCTATTCACATTTCCATGTTTTTGAACTGCTAGGTTGGCAGAAGCTGGGGCTGACAGCGGAAGCTCACGCCGCTCCCCGGAATCGAACCTGCGACCTTTCGATCAACAAGCTCAGCAGCTCAGTGCTTTAACCCACTGCGCCACCGGGGGCTCCAATTAGATATAGTATTTATTATAAATATAAATAATTGTTTTATATATTTTAATATTTCTGATCGTAAATAATAATATATAACAATTCTATATATATTACTATTTATTAATATAATAATGTATAAATAATTATACATCATTATATATATATTATATGTAGTATTTATTGATGTTAGAATTATAATTATCAAAATATAAATAATTATTTTATATATTTTTAATATTTATGATTGTAAATAAGAATATATAAATAATTATGCATAATTATATATTGTATTTAATGTATTATAATTATATATATATATAATATATTGTTTTTATTATAATAAAATTTATAGTTATATAATTCTAAATATAAATATACACATTGTTATAAATAATATATAATACGGCCAATTATATGATACTTCATCATGTTGATGGGAAGCTCCCCGCCAGAGTGGGAATGCAAGCTATTTAACCTTAGCAGATTGAGAGCCAAAACCAAGGTCGCAACAACATTTTTTATAGAACTCCAATATGCCGATGATAATGTAGCACGTGCCTTATTAGAGTTCGGTTAGATAAAATGTAGTTTCTTCTCCGTGTTGCGTACATAGGGTATGATACTTAATTGTCCATTGTTTTTAAGTATAGCTGTACTCACTGAATACCATACGTCATACTTCTCTAGTAAAGGCCAAGCAGCACCATGCATCCGCCTCCACATAAACCAAAATATACATACAATATAGGTTAACAATTATCTTTGTGGAGGCTATTTCCAACATTCTGCTCCCTTGGCAGCCACCTCTTCACAAAAGTCAACATTGACACTGAAATACAACACCGCCTGAGCTCTGCGAGTGCAGCATTTTCCCGAATGAATGAAGCAGAGAGTGTCTCCCAAAGCAGTTGCTCTACTCCGATCTCAAGAACGGAAAACATAATGTTGGTGGCCAGAAAAAGAGGTTGAAAAATAGGCTCAAAGCCAACCTTAAAAGGTGACATGGACACTGAGAACTGGGAAGCCCTGGCCCTTGAGCACTCCAGCTGGAGGTCAGCTGTGACCAGCAGTGCTGCAGAATTTGAAGAGGCATGAATGGAGGGTGAAATAATTACATAACATATAATTTATAATATTTTGTCATCATATTATAATAAAGTATATATTATTAGACTGAATAAATAAATATAATATATATAATTTATAATAATTTGTCCATATATTATAATAAAGTATATATTATTAGACTAAATAAATAAATATAATATATATATAATTTACAATCATTTCTCATCATATTATAATAAAGTATATATTATTAGACGAACTTAATAAATATTATATAATTATACCTTATTAAATGTTATATCATATATATACTGCATATATATAATTTATAATAATTTGTAATCATATTATAATAAATTATATATTATTAAATATTAAATAATATTTAAATAATATTAAATAAAGTAAATATTTACTTTATTATAATATGATGACGTATGATTGTAGATTATATATATTATATTTATTAATTTAGTCTAATTATAATATGATGACAAAATATTATAAATTATATATATTATATTTATTAATTTAATCTAATTATAATGATGACAAAATATTATAAATTATATATATTACATTTATTAATTTAGTCTAATTATAATATGATGACATTATTGTATATTATATATATCATATTTATTAATTTAGTCTAATTATAATATAAAATATTATAAATTATATATATTATATTTATTAATTATAATATGATGACAAATTATTGTATATTATATATATCATATTTATTAATTTAGTCTAATTATAATTAATATATATTATATTTATTAATTTAGTCTAATTATAATATGGTGACAAAATATTATAAATTATATATATTATATTTATTAATTATAATATGATGACAAATTATTGTATATTATATATATCATATTTATTAATTTAGTCTAATTATAATTTATATATATTATATTTATTAATTTAGTCTAATTATAATATGGTGACAAATTGTATATTATATATACCATATTTATTAATTTAGTCTAATTATAATATGATGACAAAATATTGTAAATTATATATATCATATTTATTAATTTAGTCTAATTATAATATAGTGACAAAATATAATAAATTATATGTATTATATTTATTAATTTAGTCTAATTATAATATGGTGACAAAATATTATAA